TTCGATACATGGAAATTTTTTTTTTTTTATTAACAAATAAAAGGAGTTAGAATATAAATAGTGAGAAAGATTCTGCGTAATAAAGTTAATAAACATTTTTAGTAGAAAATTTCTTATGAATGCACATTTACATTTTTGTTCTTTTGAATTTGACAAGAAATAACGATAAGAATAAAATAAGCGTAAGAGCACGAGTATATGGTTATTATATGTAATTTTCATTTTCTCGAGTCGAATATTTATTATATATATATGCATTATCTCATTTAATTTTTTTTTAATGGCTGTTTCGAAAAAAATACATATTTAAATTTTTTAACTTAATATCAACTAAATTTGTAATTATCGTTATAGAAGATACCGTACAATTGACTCGTGATGTTAATTTATCAGGAGAAAAAGTAGCAACTTTTTAAGTCCAAAACTGCTTGGTCATTTGAATTGATTTAATAAATTATACTTGGCCGTGGAGTAATTGCAACAGCAAAAGTTTAATTGAGCAATGGATTTTGTCAAAATATCCAATCATGCATTGCTTACTCTGATAATCAATGTTACAGTTAATTTTGTGGCGCAGGTTTCGTATTGCGGTAATTTTGTGTGCAGTTATTCCACATTTATTATATTTATTGCAACTATTCTCATGAACTAAATTTCATAGCTTATTACTTTTTATAGGTACAGCATGTTCAAAGATTGCCCATTTATAAATATTATTAAAATTTCTTTTACTTAACCTAAAAACTTTATATATTAAAAAAAATCAGAAATTCATCTTATTTAAAAGTTCTCATTCACAAATGATCAAATTTTCTTAGTTATCAAAGAATATGAGTCATCGATCAGAAAATTGAGGGTGATACATAAAGATTTTTAATATTATAAATTTGTTTAAATTAACAACTAAACAAAAGCTTTCAAAAAAAAAAAAAAGATTTAACTATAAAAACGTATCGCCTAAACTTATACTCGGCGTTAAAGTTTTAATGCGGAAACTTCTTCGGCATTAAAATCAATCCTATAATATAAAATATGAAAAGATTTTATTAGCAAAATAAACCAATAATAAACCAAGAAAATCTCATGAATTACAATTTTCTTTGCTTCATTAACAGTCAACCTCCACGTAATTGGACTTGTTGCCTTAGTTACACTTCCCCAATAATCATGAATTTCAGATAACTTAATATAATAGAAATTAATTAATTATAATTATTCATCAAAAAAAAAAAATTTATAAAAGAAAAATTAAATGTTCTTACAGATTCCAAATTGAGTAATGTTGAAATTTGATTTAACCTCGTAAATTTGTCTCTAA